AAATCAGGAATAAGGGATCTTCCGGAAAAGGCTTTATTTTCTGAAAGATCCTGTCTAGACTTGCGCTTTTCTTCGGCAAAGCCCCGAGCCGGAAAAAAGCGGCAGCCATGTTCATGCAAATTCCGCGGGGGATATTTAAATCCCCCGCGGCATTTGCAATTCTGTCTTGTCTCATAAGCATCCCTTTTCCGGAAAAGGGTGCCAATGTAGACACAGCCCTGGTGCGTTTAAAAACGTGGCGTTGCTATTTTGGGATACTTCTGGTATCCTGAAATAGCACCACACTCTAGATGTACCCTTATAAGAGTTGCAGAGGCAGCTGACTGCTCACTTTCAGTTGTGGTCTAACCCTTTTCAATTCAGACTGCATAGAAATTCCCAAGCCCTCACTCCAGCACATCCACTTCTCTGTGTTGCAGTATGAGACAGCCCATGCATATGGCCCACAAATGCAGTAGAAATGCAACATCTAGGGAGCATATTTAGCCCATTCAGGATAAATTTAAAAAACAACAAATAGTCTGGGAGCACTTTAAAGACTAACAAAACATGTAGATGGGATCATGAGCCCTATCGTTGTTGTTTTTTAGAAAGTGGTTTCCATTTTTCCCAAAATGTTTTTAGCAATTTGAAATCATTTGGGGAAACTTGGAAATGCTTTGGCCATGAATATTATCATATGCTATCACTGTCTGTGGGGCTTTTTTAAAATTTGAGCAGGAAGCTTAGAAATCACAATCCAAAAAGTTATCTAATGCTTTCTTTTTTTCTTTTTAATTAAGCTGTTTCTCCTACACTTAGTCCCAGAGTTTCTCCTATACCATCTCAGAGCAACTTTCTCACTCTTCCAGTCCCAACAGGTAAACTTATCTATAGATGTTAAAATTTAAACCATTTTACAAAGCTGGGGGGGAATGCCCATTAGGCTACATTTCCATCTATTGAAAAGTAGCCAGGCTTCATAAATTCACAAGTCTCTCTCATAGAAAATGATGAAGTTTGTAAATTCCCACAATACATTAGTATGTATGCAGTGCTGTTATAGCCATGTCAATCCCAAGATACGAGAGAGAAAAGGTCGGTGTCCTTGTCACTCTAGTTGCTCCAATATCTTCTATTGGACCAACTTTTATTGGCAAGACAAGCTTTTGACCCTACACAAAGCTCTTCTTTACGTCTGAGAAACTCACTCAAAGTGCCACAGCTAAATATAAAATGGAACAGATATATTAAGATTATTTTATGTATATTGTATTCCTAGGTTATATGCCTTGTATTTTATTGCCCTCAATTGTGAAGCTTTGCTATAATATGTAATGTTCTATTTTTACTGTGCTTGCAATAGAATGGAATAGAATAGAATTTGTTGTTTCTTTTTGTTTCATCTTTAAAATCCAACTTTATGAATTCTGATATTAAGTCATAAATTTTCAGTGTTGTGCCTTTGAAGCGCTCCCCCTCTATTATCTTGTGTGCACGTAAGTGGGTGTGGATGTTGTTGAAATATAATAAACAACAAATACAAATCAGAATATGCTCTTGTTGTATCATTATTCCAGGGCCTGATGTATGTGCCGTCACAGGTGCTGGATCAGTGACTCCACTGCAGGTAAGACTGCAGGTGCTGGCTATGGTATGTTGGTATTTAAAATAATATCATTTTATACTACCGGTACACCTCGTTCAGAATAAGAATCCTAGTTCGAACTACCTAGTTCGAGCCCCGTGTAGCCCCGTGTAGCTGCACGGGGTTCGAACCAGCGGGGTTTTAAAAATGGCAGCTCCCCGCTTATGCAAATGAAGCCCGGGAAATTCAAATCCCGGACTTCATTTGCAAGTGCGGTATGCCTACATTACCCTCCTAGTTTGAATTAGGAGGGTAGTGTAGACATACCCTCTTTTACTTAGGTTCTGGTAAGCCTAAGGCCAGTTAAACACAACATAATGACAGTTTCTGAAACATCCATGTAGAAGTGGAGAGCCACTGGAAGATTAGAAAAGATCTAATATCTTCCTGATTGAGAAAAAAAAGAGTACAGGAATAGTCATAATGACAGTTTCTGAAACATCCATGTAGAAGTGGAGAGCCACTGGAAGATTAGAAAAGATCTAATGTCTTCCTGATTGAGAAAAAAAAGAGTAACTTGGCAGTTACCAGTCTATAAATGTAATTTCTAATTCAAGGGAAGTAATGCAACAGTATTAAGAGATTTAAATATCATCCCTGAGCATCTACAGGACTGCAGAATTAAAGGGGCATGTGTCTGGAAAAAATGCAAAACAAATTACTATATTTCATTTTAGTTAGATTAGCAAAATTATACAAGAGGATGAATGGCAAGCAGAAGTAAGTATGTGATACAGCGTCTCTCAAAAATCTTACTTTTGAAACTAAACTTGTGTTGGCTCAGATAAGAATACTATTATGTGGCTTTGAAACTGAGTGAAAGTTTATAATCCAAGTGAAATGATAATCAGCACTGCCCTGAGAGGCCAGATAGGGGTCTACTGCAGTACTGGAGGGAATGTCTAAATCTTCATGTAGGATTGGAATATCATCTGTATTGGCAATATCTCCCAATTTTATATCATCCATTTATTTTATTAACACATTTCCAATTAACGCCAAGGTCTTTAACAAAAATATTAAGTAAGACTGGTCTGAAGACAGATCCTTAAGAAACTATGCTAGTAACCTACCTCCAGCCTGACAGTTCACCCTTTAATATGACTCATTATAGACTTTCCTTTAACCAGTTCCTTACCCACCTTGCAATTCTTGTATTAATCCCCATTTCTTACAGTTTAACTAGTAAACTCCCAGTATTAAATGCTTTGCTGAAATCCAGGTAGATCACCTCTACTACATTTCTTTTAATAGAAAATTCATTATTCTCCCAAAGAAAGAAGTTAAATTAGTCTGGCCAATTCATCTTTTATAAAACCACCTGTACTTTATCTGAATAGCCATTTACGTTCGTGGAGGGAGAAAGTCATTTCCAGTCTTAGTGATAGAAATGTAGCCATGTTAGTCTGATGTAGCTGAAACAAAAACCAGGACTATGTAGCACTTTAAAGACTAACAAGATGGTTTATTAGGTGATGAGCTTTCGTGGGCCAGACCCACTTCCTCAGATCAAATATTTGATTTGTCCTTTTCATATGTGTTCATTTTTTTTAATTGTATCCTTTGGTATATTTGGTTGTGACAATTTTCTTCCACTATTTGATCTGAGGAAGTGGGTCTGGCCCACAAAAGCTCATCACCTAATAAACCATCTTGTTAGTCTTTAAAGTGCTACATAGTCCTGTTTTTTATTTCCAGTCTTAGGGTCTAATCATGTAAATATTTATATTCCTGTTTACTCACATGAATAATCCCATTGATTTTAACTGAGCTACTTGTGCAAGGAAAATTTAGAATGTATGAGACACAAGTGTTGCAGAATCAGGGTCATAGTTAACATTTAGAGACATATTGTAACTAAACCTCATGTAGCCAAGCAAGGGAATAAAAGGGAGTAAGATTCCCAGTGCTGTTTATTATTTCACTTGGTTTACAAACTTTCACTCAGTTTCAAAGTCACATAACAGTGTCCTTATCTGAGCCATGTCCCTGTACAGCTGCATTCGTGTTCCCTGCACCTCAGCATTAGTGTTCCTTACCCCAGTGAGGAAAGAATAGGATGCATGCCCCATATTTCTTCCACCCTTTCTTTCCTACAGCCATGTAGATAAGGAATAGATAGACCCCAACGTATTGGCTGCACAGCTGAGAGGTGCTGGGAAGAGTGGAAAAGTAATATGCACCCATTAAAGAGGCAGTGTAAATCATTTTTCCCTGTAAATAAGGAAGGAAGACTCTGGAATAGTTCCTTCTCATGCATCAGCTAGTGTGTATTGAGAAAAGGCCCAGTCTAGCCTTTTGCATTCAGGAGCGAGTAAACACCGTGTTCATGAAATTTTCCAATGATATTGTATTAGAAGGAATGACAGTTATCAGTAAAAAAAAAGAAATAATAGAAAGGGAAATCAGAAGATAAATTAGAAACATGGGGAGAAAATGAGATAATGTGATTTAACTTGGGAAGTATGAAGGTTCATATTTTGATGGTGGGGGAATAATAGGAATCATTCACTCAATTAAAGAAAAGTAGTCCTTCACAATTTAATCCCTCACCCTGCTCACATTGTTTTCTTAACTTTGTTTCCTTATATTTTATGTGCATAGTAGGCACTTTCCAAACATATAAAGAAGTCTGCTCTTAAAAGTCTACCACTGAACTAAATTATTATTTAATAAATCACTTAAACTGGAGGTTTAGCTCCAATATTGCTATCTTTAATTTTCTCTAAGGATCACAAATATTAAATTACGTTATCTATGGAACATACCGTAGGAGCACTAAAAGCATATCTAGTGAAATTCAGGATAGCTAAGCCCAGCTATCACAGGTTTTTCACAGTCTTGAATTTGGGAAGGCCCTACTCATTGTTCTGATTCCAAGAGGTCTTGCCTGTCTGGGAGCAAGGGGACATGCATTGTTTACAATAAAAAAGCAACACAAATACACCAAAAGCCTTGAATTCTCCAGACATGGTCTAACTGGTTAAACTTGTTTAGGTTCTCTTTGCAAAGATCTCCAGCAAATAGCACCTGGGAGGTGATATTTTCTAAAGCACAAATGAGGAGCACCCATCACACAGTGATCATCAATGTGCCTTTAAGCACCTACCTGCTTTCTGTGTCTTTGAAAATCCACCCTCCTCCCTCCTACCATGAAGCATTTACAAGAAAATGGCTGTGAAAGCAGAAATGGTCTCATTCAGTAAAATCCAGCTTCCCCTAACACGTCTTTTTTATGTATATCCTTTTCTTTCAGAATGTCACAAAAGGTTTAAGCGATCGAAAGCAGAATGATCAGAGGAAGGTTTCTCACGGAAGGTTGGTTCCTCATTCAACTAGTTTTGAAAACTCCAAAGAGAAACTCTCTGCACAAAAAGAAAACTTTGATCCACTTGCACACATGGATAATTTACCCAAATCCTCCCCTTTAGGCAGTGAGACTGCCAAAATGTCTCCTAACACAAGCAATAACAGTTGTGAAAATGAACATGGAAAATCATTCCTTAAGAAATCAAAACAAAATGACTTTCCTTTAAGAATGTATCGACAAGGCCAAGACCTAAGTACTGTGGACTCAAAGATAAAAAGTTCTGTACCAGAACTGATGGACCCTAAAGTTACCTGTCCAACAGAACTTAAATTATCTGGAACACGCCCTCCTCTATTACAAGCTATATCATGGGATAGCATAGAACCTGGACATGATGAAAAGGCATCTTTTAAATTACTATCTGAAGAAGAGAAAAGCTTTGATATTAGTAATAAATCCAACGGTCAATTGACTAAAACATTAGCGTTCAAAGACCTCCAAATACAAGTTCAACCAGTTCGAATGCAGAAATTGACAAAGCTCAGAGAGGTGAGTTTCTGGACATAAATAGCTTTATGTAGTTAAACCCACTGTGCTCATACATCACAGAACTATATAATTAGTACTTGTTAAAGTACTATATTTGTAGTAGATTAGGCAAAAAATAATTTTGTACCTTTTAGAATTGGAATTACGGAATTAAGGAGATTGGATAGTGTTCTAGGTCTTTCACAGTAAAAACTTATGAAAAGCATATGCAGTTACTATTCTGAGCTCTTAGCACTCTGTGAGTACATTTACACTGCATGCTTATTTCAAAATAAACTATTCTGGAATAGTTATTCCGAAATAGCTTATTTTGATATAGCACTTCTGCAATTCAGGGAAGCCTCAAAATTAGTCCCAGGCAGGCTTCCTTAATGTGCTATTTTGATTCAGAGCCCCATGAGGCACTGGAGAGGAATAACTTAGAATGGCCCTGGTGTGGGGCTGTTTCGAAATAGCAGCCGCGGAACATCTACATATGCCTTATTTCAAAATAGCTATTTTGGAATAAACATTATTCCTCCTAGAATGAGATTTGCAGATTTCTGAATAAGCCACCTGTTATTCGTTATTCATATTGTTATTTCGAAATAACTCATTTTAGTCGCATCCTGTGATTTATGTTCTTGACTGAATACAAAAAGTGGTGGATGTAAAACATAGTTCAGTATTAATGGAACATGCCTACCTAAAACTTAAACCATTATGTTCAAAAAATGGTCTGTGTCTACATTACCAGGTTATTTCAAAATAATAACTCCCAAAATAACTATTTTGATATAAGCTTATAACTTCACAAGCAGAAGTTATTATTTTGAAATAACAAGCTCATTATTTTGAAATAACAGGCTTAGTAGGGCACGTCTATTCAGAAGGGCTAAACATGAAATAAGCTATGCAACATAAGTTATGCAATGCTTATGCATAAGCTATTCCAAGCTTATTTCGACTTTTGGCGCTGTCTATACAGCAGTTATTTCAAGATAGAGCTCTCTTCCCCTGACTTCCATTACTCCTCGTACAGTTAGGGTTACAGGGGGTCAGAGTAAGCAGCCCTCCAACTCAACATTATTTCGATATTATGTTATTTCAGAATAACTAACGTTATTCTGAAATAACACTGCTGTGTAGACATAGCCTATATAGTATGGCTGCTCTTCTTGTTCTTTTGAAATAACAAGTATAGACATGCCCACTGAGTCCTATCTGCAAGTCAATTAAATATCTCCTTTACTTCAGTGGTCTTTGGATCAGACTCTTAGGGTGTGTCTAGACTACATGGCTCCATCGACGGAGCCATGTAGATGAGTTTACTAGACATAGCAAAATGAAGCGGCGATTTAAATAATTGCCGCTTCATTTACATCAAAATGGCCGCTGCGGTGTGCTGATCAGCTGATTGTCGGCACAGCACGGTAGTCTAGATGGGGATCAGCCGACCCCAGCACCCTTTGTTGTCAGATCCTGTAAGCCTTGTTGCACGAGGCATGAAGGATCTGACGACAAAGGGATCTGACGACAAAGGGTTGGCTGATCCCCGTCTAGACTACTGCGTTGTGCCGACAATCAGCTGATCGGCACAGCGCAGTGGCCATTTTGATGTAAATGAAGCGGCGATTTAAATCATGTCTAGTAAACCCATCTACATGGCTCCGTCGACGGAGTCATGTAGTCTAGACACACCCTTACTGAAAATGCTGTTAATGGTATTCCTAAATAGTTATACTAAAAAGTGTCTTCATACCACTGCACACAATGTTTATCATTTGGACAGAAAATTTAAACTACAAAAAGCAGCATTTTGTTACTTTTAGGGTTGGTGTACTCTTCATTGAACAGTGACATTTTCTTATTTTATTACTATTTTTATGATTACAAGAAAGCTTCATGCTGAAATGATGGATGAATTACAGCAAAATTAACATAGTACTATGTTTTTATTTTTCCATTTCTATTTATTGAAATGGAATTCCTTTCCTCTGGTATATTCTTGTTCTCAGTTTCATAGAAACAGAATTCTTTTCACAAACACACATGTTGCTTTTATGTACACATTTCTTGGTTCCTAGAAAATTGGGCTGAAGAAAAATTATCACAGTGCCATAAAAGAAACATTAGCAGTTTTCCTCCATAATATAAAGGTGAACATAATGTATAGTACAGTGATATTCCAATTTCAGATCTAGTACATTCCATGTAAACAGGAAGAAGTTGATTAACCGCCTTGTCATTTCTAAGTAATACTTGGGAGTGAAATAATCTACTTTAGTCTCCAAAGAGATATTATATCTGAAAAGCTGTCCTTTTTCAGGATATATCAACAAACCTTATGAAGAGAAAAGTTATTTGGGAGTGTTACTTCTGCTATCACTTCCTTTTCTTCTCAGTGCTATGTTTTTCTGCACCTTACAGAATTTCTCCTTCAGAACAAGACACTCTTTGACTTTACATGTTAATAGAATTTCTTGTTTGTGAACTGAGAACTTTATATGAACCTAATGGTTCAACTGAAATTTAGACACTATTGCTGTACTTCATTAAAGGCTGATTTTGCCCTGGAATACACCTACATATCTCTCACTGGAATCAGTGATATCTTATTTGTATCTTACCTTTATTATAGACGTACCTTTAAAAAAACATTCACTTTTGCTTAGTTCTGTTGAACACTTTGAGTCCTGTTTTTGTAAAGAAAAATGTCATTTTTAAAGGGGTTTGGCCTTTGAGCTAAACCTTGGCTTATAAGATATATTGAAAGTTTGGATTTGTGGGTTTTTTGTTTATTTGCCTTTTATTTTTTAAAAAAATATACTTTCTCATATGCATCAGACAATTTGAGAGCTTACAAGTTCAAAAGTCTCCCAGACAAAATATATACAAGGGAATCTGTTGGGTCAGATTCTTTAGTGGTGTAATTCTGATTACAATGGAACTACACAGAGCATGAATTTGCCGACATTAGCAAACTGATATATATAAGAACCAGTAAATGTGTATATATGTAAAATTGTAATTATCTCTCTCTCTCTCTCTCTCTCTCTCTCTCTATATATATATATATATATACACCTTGAATGAAAAAGCTATAAATCTTTCAAAAGAAACCATTTACTGGTTCTTAATTACAATAACATAAATAAAATAACTTCTTACAAGCCTCCAGTCATTTATATGCAAGATCAACACAGTGCTGATATAAAAGAGAACATTAACTTTTTAAATAGGTTATTTCACTCTACGGTACTACTGAGAAATGATAAGACAGTGATCTTTTTCATGTTTATATACTCTAAGATGTTGAATTATGTACTGGAAAACCTGTTTTTTTCAATAAGTACACAAATTATATAACAATGGATGCCATAGAGATTCCTTAAAATTAAATTTATATGCAACAGAATCAGTATCTGAAATCAGGAAATTAACACTTACAATATGTGGCAAAATTCAAGTTACAAGAGATTATTTTTTAGGCTTAACAGGGATCCTTTTTTAGCAAATGATAGTGTTAATTATAAATGCACTTAAGAGGAAAATGTTATTTAAGTTCATTTTTTGCAAAATGTAATCCCCTCTCTGTTTGGGAGGCATAGTGGCACCAGAGACGGCAATAACAGTGAGAAATATTATATTTCAGTAATAAAATAGAATTTCTTTGAAAAATTCTTAGTCAACAAGTGGGCTAAGTGACGGTCACTTGAATGTCTTTCTTTTCTTTTTCCCCTCTCTCCTCCCTGCGATCTGTTATATGCTAAATTATTTTAGCATTAGCAACATCTAGAACTTATTATTTTTCCTCCACTTACATACAGATAAATTGACTTGCAATGAATGAAAGTAATAAATGCCTCTTGCAAATATGCGTATGCAATGAGCAACTACAGTGGTAGCCAGAAATCTAAATGGAAGATTAGTTAGTTTGGAGTCTTTACTAAGTAAAATAGGTTTGAAACCTGACGTGTTTTATACTGTAGTTATTGATGATCATATAATCAATGAGTATGATTAATTCCTTTCACATACGTAATATGTACCTACATAAATGCAATGTTAACCTTTGTTCTTATAGTGCTCTGATATTTACATTGAGACATCAAATTGTTCTGTTTAGAATATTTCCATTTTTTTTAACAGGAGCATATTTTGATGCGAAATCAAAACTTAGTTGGAGTTAAACTGCCTGACCTCAGTGAAGCAGCTGAACAGGAAAGAGGTGCAATATCATTAAGCTGGAAGAAATGCTAGTTTATGTGTCACAACCTTTTTATCCAAATAATGTAAAAGGAACTGGTCTTCAGTTCTAAGTCAGTACATTCTCAAAACCTAACAGTAATGGAATCACACACACCAAATATGGAATATTTCTGATGGGGTCTCACACTGGGATCAGTTCATGGCTCTATGCTATTTAATATTTTTATCAATGGCCTGAGGAAAATACAATATAATTGCTGATAAAAGTTTGCAGATGACACAAATATACTGCAATTAAGAGGACAGGTTATTGATACAAAGTGATCTGAAATGCTTGGTAAGCTGAGCACAAGCATACAATATGCATTTCAATATGGCCAGTTCATATATCTAGGAACAAAGAGTGCAGGCTGTGCTTACGGGATGGGAGACTCTCTTCGGGCAAGCAGTGACTCTCAAAAGGATTTTGAGATCATGATGTATAACTTGTTTAACATGAACTTCCACTGAGGTTCTGTGACAATAGTGCAATCAATGGGTGTATAAACAGGGATGTAGAGAGTAGCAGTAGGGAAGTTATATTGTCTCTGTATTTAGCACTGGTTTAAAATTTGAAAGGATTCAAAGATGAGCCAATGAGAATGACTAAAAGATTGGACAACGTGCCTTTTAGTGGCAGAAGCCAACGAGCTCAATCTGTTTATCAAGAGAAGATTAAGGAGTGACTTGGTCACAATCTATAAGCACATATACATAGGGAACTGAAATTTGATAAAAGACGGCTTTTCAGCCTCGCAGAGGAAGATATAACAAGATCCAATGACTCGAAGTTGACACTACAGAAAATCAGACAAGAAAAAAGATGCAGATATTTAACAGTGAGGGTAATTAACCACTGGAGCAATTTACTCAGGGTAGTAGTGGCTTCTAATCATTGGCAATTTAAAAAAAAAAGATGTTTTTCTAAAGATCTGCTGTAGTTTCAACAGGAAATAATGTAAAGAAACTCTAGGACCTTTGTTATCCAGAATGTCAGGTTAGAGTATGATAATTGTTCCTTCTGATCTTATAATTGATGAATCTATATGTGAGTGAAGGTGAGAGAAGCTTAATTCGTGATTATTTGGGGTCTGACCAAAGACCATTCAAATAAATAGATCCTTACTGGTATCATTAATCCATAGATTTTTAGGCCAAAATGACCATTATGATCATCTAGTCTGACCCCCTGCATAGTACAGGCCACAGAATCTCACCTACCCCTCCTAGAATAATCCTCTCACCTATATCTCAGATATTGAAGCCTTCAAATACTTTGAAGACCCCAAGATGCAGAGAATCCTCTAGCTGTGATCTGTACCCCATGCTACAGAGGAAGGCGAAAAACCTCCAGGGCCTCTGCCAATCTACCCTGGAGGAAAATTCCTTCCCGACCCCAAATATGGCGATCAGCTAAACCCTGAGCATGTGGGCAAGACTCATCAGCCAGACACCCAGAAAGTTCTCTATAGTAACTCCTGTCATCCCTCCATTGACCTATTTCCCACTGATAATGAATGGTCAATTAGTTACCAAGATCATGTTATCTCATCAAACCACCCCCTTCATAAACCCATCTAGTTTAATCTTGAAACCAGATAGATCTTTTGCCCCCACTACTTCCCTTGGAAGGCCGTTCCAGAACTTCACTCCTCTAATGGTTAGAAACCTTCGTCTAATCTCAAATCTAATCTCAAGTTATTCCTCTCCCCACAAGGAATAAGCCCTCTTGCTCAAGAGCTCTTCCACAAGAGGGCAGTCTGGACAGGCAAAATGAATTTCTTGCAGAAGAAGCCCCTATGGTTAAAATGGCCATCAGAGCTTTCTTGCTCAAGAGAGCATCCACACTGCCATGGATGCTCTTGCGCAAAAGCACATGGCAGTGTAGTTCTTGCGCAAGAAGCTGCCAGTGTAGAGGTATCCTGGATCATGTTATGCTTGACGTCTATTATGTCTATGACGTCTAGACGTCTAAGATGTCTATTACCAAATTTCAGTTCCCTATGTAGACATTTATAGACTGTCAAGTCAGCCTTAACATTTTCTTGGGTAAACTATATTGAGTTTTTTATCTCTCACAGATTTTCCAGACCATAATTCATTCTTCTGGATATTTTCTGAATCCTTTCCAATTTTTCAACATCCTTTTTGAGGTATAATATTCTGGCCCAAATGGAGCCCATAGCAAGTCTCCCATTGACATGAGCCAGGATCTCTACTGACATCCACTTCCAAGCTGTCTCTAAACCAGGATTTTGTAGCACAGATGAACCAGTGTACCTATGCTAACCTCCTGTATTATTATTTTTGGTGTGATCAGACGGACTGCCTTGTGCGGGCTGCCATTCAAATGAACAAATGTTCTGTAACGTATTCCAGTGGGTAAAGCTGATATTGTGGCAGGACTAGATAGGAAGAGGACTATGCTTTCACACCTGAGTCACCTAAATTTATGCTTGAACCCCCACATAAAGTGGCCTGTTTTGTTTGTTTCCAGAAGGGCTGAGCATTCACAATTTCCATTAACTTGAATGGGAGTTTTGGGTGCTGAACACCTGTGGAAAACAGGCCACTTTTTACATCCTGGCTGGGGGGGGAGAGAGTGGCCTGCCCCTGGGCAAGGTGGGAGGCAGTCTCTGCACTCTCAGAAGGGTACCAATAGCAGAAAGGGCTGAGCCGGGGGTAGCCAGCCCTCAGCATTGCCTTCAGCACACTGCACCGTGCCCCCACCCCAGGTAGCCTTCAGAGCTGCCCACAGCTTGCCATGCCGTGCTACAGGGACAATTAAAAGGGCCCAGGTTTCAGCTGCCATCACTGTTGTAGCGGGGAGCCACAGGCCCTTTTGCCCCTGTTACTCCTGCCACTGGTGGGCCTGATAGTAGCTTTAAAAGAAGACTGAAATTACTTACTTCAGTCCCCTCGTTAGGAAATGTGTCTAAATACCCTACTTCTGCACTCAGTATAAAATATCATTACAAGTAGAAAAACAAACTTTGGCCAAGATCATCCCTTCCAACAGGAAAAGAGGCTCAAGGGAGGGAAACTTCTGCAAGGATTCCCTGGCAGACACGGCTCCACTTACATTGTCCTGCCAGAAATGCTGCATAATATACCAAATAGATTGTATGACGGAGGTCTGCTGGAAGTGAGGTCTGCTGGGTGAGCAGAGACTTCACTCCACCCATGCCCGACCCATTGGGATCTCCAGCAGCATGGTTCCAACAGAGTTGCACTACCATGTCCTTGGATCCCCAGGCTGGGTATGCCCTGCAGAGAAGATAATATAGCCTGCATGAGCTTTATCTTTTTCACTAAGTTCCATAATGCTGGAGAGGAGAATGATGCATCCACGGCCAATACAAGTAGACTTGCCCTGTCTACTCCTTTCTCCATGCAGACCTAAGACTGTATTAATAGGCTTATACAAAGAGTAGAGACAGGCAAAGGAGACACAGTGCAGCAGAGGTGAAATGCATTTTGTTGCTTTGCACTCCTTAAATAAGACCCTGTCAAAACCTGAAGGTTCAGTTTCACAGGAAACAGTTGAGAGATTTCTTTATTATGACATTTTAAAGAAATGTAGCATTGTAGCAAAACACAGCATAGGACTATATCCTGAATAAAAGATACCACATGCCTCCTACACATACGTGCCTTACCCTATAATTATTTTAATGGGATCTTGGTTGTAGTGATATTGTTAGTGCATATAGTCTCTCAGTTTTGTTAATAGACCTTTAAATAGTCATTTTCAGCAAGCCTAAGTTTGCAGGGCTAGAATAATTGCTACCTTTCAAAGCTCTCATGTAGATTTGGTAGACTTAGACTTTTGAGAAGAAAACATTCTGAAATTCTACATATTGTTTTACAAAGGACTGCAAGTCCAATATGTTGTCCAAAGTATAAGGAACCGCACTGACATTTAGAAGCCAACCACACATCAGAATCTCTAGCTAGGGCCTTAAAAATCAACTCCTTTACTTCACCAGGAAGATCAGCAAGGAGCAGAATCCTTAGTTTACTTATTTAAGAGTTTCATACTTCCTTACATAGTAATGAAATTAACCTAATGTTTCCAAATGGTGTAATATTTCACTAAAACATATAGTAATAACCAAAGTGCTAACAGTTTCCTTTTGTTATGAATCACTTAGTTGGCTCCATCTTATCTTATCATCAGTGTCAAGTTGTCTGTCTTGGTCATCTTAGGATAAACACTACTTTAAAACTACAGACCTTTAAATAAATTAGCAGACCCAGAACACTGGAAACACTGTTATTATGCAAGCTTATTGTTTTTAAGGGCATAAACACAAAAGTGCTGAGGTGGATGGCCGGACAATTTTTAAGTATTGAAAAAATACAGAAAACAGGAAATATAGTTGTATAATTAAAATAATCTGCCTCCACTAAGCTTCTTCAACTTTGACTACCGTCATGCACAATTTTAAATGGCCAGAGACTTTTCTTATCACCACTTATATTTTTCCCAAGTCCAAGAGTTTGTTAAATAGAGAGGATTAATCTATAAGGAGACATGAATCTTCATAGGCTTTCTAGCTACATTTGTAAGTGTACAGCTGGGCTCTAGAAATGAGTCTTATGGTCACAGAAAGCTGTCAGGACATTGTGATTTGCCTTGTCCTTTACATATTGCTAAACACTAGATGGGAATGCTATAGCAGAGGGCTTCTGCTATGGAAAAAGGCGAGAGCCTTGTATGAGAAAAAGTGACTGAAATATACTGAGATCCATACCTTGGTCCTAGTGATGACGATAGAAGTATAAGATTACAATTCTGTATCACTCTTCTGTCACAGTTGTAGCAAATGAGCAGGTATTACAAAGCAGTTAGATATCATATATCTATCCCAAGTTGGAGGAACAGTGAACCCATGTAGTATAGTGTTCTTTCTAGACCAGCAATAATCTTGGCCAGATAGTACTTAAATTATTTGTAAATCACAGATTTTTTTATTTTATATTTTATAAAATATCTAGTGCAACGTTGCAAATGATATGATCAGCTAACAAAGCTCAAAGGAACTGGACTATATGTTCCAGCAACCTATTCTGGTTCAACTAAAAAAATGCTCACATTTCACAACAAGATATTTGTTCTCTTCTATTACATTCAGAGGCAATGTGCCCTGCCAGAATATCTCCTTCCCTCATTCTCTTCTTCCTTCCACAGAAAACATTGCCATTGCCAATCTCTTTCCTTGTATTAAGGAATATTATAATAATGACCCTATGGGTTAATTTGGTGTTTGGGATAAATAAGATACACATTTCAGACTGTAGAGACAAAGAGTAAGACCCAGCTTTTCACTTGCTTCTCCTGTCCTTGAAGACAATGGTAAAAGTCCCACTGACTTCAATAACAGCAGAATTCTATTGACTTGCAATATTTTTTTTAAAATCCACCACAAATGTCTAAGGGAGGTTGATTTCTGTATTAACACATGTCTTCTCACAGTGGCCTGATTATGCCTTATGAAATTGTCCTCAGGGCCTTCACCTGTACCTTGTTCTGTTGAAGAAGAGGAGTCAAAGAATAGCTCTGATGTCATGCCTAATATTCCTGATGTACTGCTACGAAAACTCCATGTGCATAAATCTCTGCCAGGAAGGTAAAAACTAACTAGGTCCAGCATCTACTAGTAGTCTTCTGTCAAAGAAATAGTTGATTTGGCTGGATTAGCATTATGTAATTCTGCTCACGCATAAGTTCCATATGTAAAGAGATTTCTGAATCAGGATTTTTGGCAGCAGGATTGAAGCTGTATCTTAAAATATACTCTGCAGTCTTTATAAAATACATGCATTTCTCAAATGCTCAAAATGACAAAAAAGAGAACCCATTTTAAAAATAATTTGAAATTCATAGTTCTGTAAATATCTTATAAGCATGAGTTGCAAGCTACAAATATTCCTTCCCAGTTTGTTCATAGTCTGAACACTCCTGATTTTCCAAAATGCCGCCGCACACTTAGGTATTAGAAATATTTGTGTTTCTTCCATTAAAAAACAAATGAACAAACAAAACTATAGGGCCAGATTGCTTCTTGCCCTGGTAAAACCTGGGGTAGGAAAACTGCAAGGAATCCCCTCTGCCAGTTTCGCCTTAATCATTGTCTTAGCACAGGGCTACTCAACACGCGGCCATTGGGCCGCAAAGCCCATTTGATTGCAGCCCATGGTACAGTTTGGGTTTATGTGGGGCTCAACACACAGTTTGCGGGTGGGATCCTTTGAACATGGCCTCCACTAGGAACACGCTCCACAACGGCGAGGTGTCTCCCCAGCAGGGTGAGTATTGAAAGACACAAGCAGACAGGCTGGCAGGAACAGGTGGATACAGGGTGTCGGCATTTCTAGCCCCGAGGAAGGAGGTTCTGAGATCGCTGGGGCATTGTGTGAAAGAAGCTATTTACATATATTTTCATATATATTTGCATGTATTCACAACCACATTTAAGTTGTGGCATGTGCTGTATCATTGCTTCCAGGGCTTCCAAAGTTGAGTAGCCCTGCTTTAGCAGCTTGGGGTTTGCCACTCTGCAGATTTACATAGAAGAGCTGCCCACAAAGTCCATAGAACTCTCTATGGGTTCTGGGACAAGAGCAGGAGAAACTCCAAATGTTTTCCTCAATGGTTGGGGGGAAAGGTGTGCTGATATTATTGGGCACCTGGTCCTAGGTTAAGAAAAATTTAAAGTTGAATACTTAGGCATGCAAATGCAAAAATAAATACCTTAATTGTGATCTCCTTTGCTTAGGTACCAATACTAGTCATTAATTATAACATCATATGGTATTTCTCAGAAACTATAGTAGCAAGTGATACAACTGCAAGAGCTCATAGTAAAGGCAAAGGAAATTGAATAGCAAAGAACAAAATTATTTAGAATTGTACTGACTTGGAGTATCAGGAATATGTCTCACAAAATATATTTTAACCACTAACTACAGCCAATCCATTGAATTAATTTATAAATGATCGTGAACCCGTACTGCATGTTTGCTGGGGCCTCTCTGGTCAAATTAAGGAAGTGATATTTCCTGGTCATTGTAACAGTTCTCTAACATTGGCAGATGTTCATACTTTTTTCTCCTTCTTTCCAAAATGTATTAACTCCACACCAGAAAAGAAAATGAAACTGTCTCTGCTTATTTACAAAGTACAGTGATAAAACAATAAATGAATTATATGTGTATGTATTACATCAAATCAAAGAGTGTAATACAATTGAACTTGCCAAGAAGAAGACATCTGTCTCAAATAACAGACCCTTTTACATAAACACTATGCCCTCCAGCAGCAAATGTATTTTCCCTTATGATAGACATGCTGTTTTCCCCTGTTGGGAATAGCTACCAGTTGCAGATATTAATGCTGCTCCATTCCACTGAGAAAATCTCTTGTTCATAAATGCCAAACAGATTAACTTTTCTCTTTAAAATTAGCTCTCAGTCCAAAATGAGAATAATGTTCCAATGTGCTGAGAAATCTATTGCCCTCAGAGTACTTACTATGCATGCCAATCATTTCTTCCATCATTAGCATCCCAACCTGTAGGTGAAAGAAGTATTGCCACTCCTTTCAGATATTTCCTTTGTTCACTTATATAAACCCTCTGGATAGCATCCAGAAGTGTCAAAGCAATTGCAGAGGATACAGATTCTGTATCTCACTGGTAATGTGGACATGGCCTCTAGTCATGCCCACCTAACAGATTTACCTAAATCAGCTCCTCTGTAGCATTTTGTGGAATCAAATATGGTATCATGTCCTACTTCTCATGCTGATATTCATCATCTTTGTGCTGCACTTACCTCCTAGCCAGTTACAACATATTGTATCTTCACAACTGTCAAGGCTGTTCCCCACTCTGACCTCTCAGTCAGGCATGCAGATACACACAGACAGACTTTCCAGGACACAAAAATCAACCAATACCAGTTAATTAGAAAAAGAAAAACTTTTATTATCAAAACAAAACTACAGTTGCAAGCATAGTAAAGTGGCTAGATGGAAAGGGCCACCAATTGATCTAGATACTCAGGGGGAACCCCTTTAGTTACAAAAGAGAGAAAACACCATTACCAGCTCAGACATTAATTCCAAATTCCCAAACCTGGAAAAATAACAAAATCCTGACTTACTATCTAAACTTTTCCCTACTTACACATTGTAAGAAGTCTGTTCTTGGAGCGAGATGGGCCTCCCATCTCCTTCAATCTTGGAAGAAACCATTCTAAATCTCAACCCAGAAGAGAGGAAAAAAACCCCTCTCTTCCAGTTTGAAATGCCTACCTGCATTGTCATTGGCTGACCACCCAATACCTGGCAAGGTACAGGAGACATAGTTAACCCCTTAATCACCAGGTGCTGGTCAGCTCTCCTGGTTATGATGATATCTTACTGCACAAAATGTTCATATTTGCACCATTATTCTTCCTGCCTGTTTCCGCTGGTTTCACAATGATCATATGCCTCCACTTTCTCTTCGTGGTTATGATGAGGCACCAATCCTAGGGACTAGAAGCATTATCTAGCTTAACCCCTGCCATAGGGTTATCTAGCATAAGCCCTTGTTTTGTATGCTAAAACAAATGACTGTCCAGCCATCTTTTGAAAACCTCCAGCGAAAGGGCTTCCATAACCTCCATAATTCTGCTGTTCTGTACATGCTGCCTGAATCCATGGTACAGGCCACTGTCAAAGATGGACCATGGTCTGACCCAGTATGGCAGCTGTTACATTCTTATGTTACCAAGTTATATCCCAAACCCAGCACTGGTTCATTTTCTTGTTCCAATCTGGATGCAGATGAAATACAGTAAAAACGGTCATTGTTCCAAAAGACTCTGTAACATACATATATTCTCATGTCAGCCAGTGATCACAGTACAATTTCTGCTTCGAAACTACATCTGCCTGTTGATGTGTCTAAGCTTTTATTCTGTGTTCATTACTGTGCTGCCTGAACACTTAAAAGAAGGAGGATTAATGGTGATAGTGATACCAGACATAATACATTCAACCATTGATTGGCCCCATCTTCCCTGATTTTTCCTTCCATGCACAAGGTGATGCAATTTAGTGTTGCTGTACCACCAGCACAGCTCATTTACAATACATTGTGTCCTTTCACAAGTACTAGGCTATGTCTAGACTGCAAGCCTCTTTCAAAAGAGGCTCTTTCGAAAGATACTTTCGAAAGACCCTCTTTCGAAAGAGAGCGTCTAGATTGCACGTTGAACTTTCGAAAAAGCGGCTTGCTTTTTCGAAAGAAAGCATCCAGTGAGTCTGGATGCTCTCTTTCGAAGAAGCCCTATTTACATTGAAGAACGCCTTCTTTCGAAAGAGGAACTTTCGAAAGAAGGCGTTCTTCCTCGTGAAATGAGGTTTACCGCCATCGAAAGAAAGGCCGCGTTCTTTCGATTTAATTTCGAAAGAACGCGGCTTGAGTCTGGACGCAGGGGAAGTTTTTTCGGAAAAAGGCTACTTTTCCCGAAAAAACCCCTGAGTCTGGACACAGCCCTACTGTGCTGAAATTTAAAGCAGCCACAATTTAATTTTACCAAAAATGAGTCATTTTTAAAAAATGCTGTCAAGTCTTTTCCCCACTCTAGCATGACGAATGCAGAAGTGGGGGCCTGCAAGAGTACTCCAAAACCTTACCTCTACAGGTTTTTGGTACAAAAACTTCCCCCCAAAATCCTAATACCCAGATTTTGGGGAATCCGCTGCCATGACCCAAGTAATTCCAAGAAAACCAAGGAAGAGATCACTTGAGAAATCTCCTCCGAAGGTAAAACTCCCCCCTTCTCCAAACTTCCGTTTTACTTGGAGTTGGGAAAAATAGAGGGAATTCATAGACAACAGTGGACTCTGCCCTGGTAACTAGGCGCTGAGTTCTAAGGACACAACAATCAACCAATACCGGTTAATTAAAAAAAAGAAACAACTTTTATTATCAAAACAAAGCTACAGTTGCAAGCATAGTAAAGTGGCTAGATGGAAGAGACACCCATTGATATACTCAGGAAAACCCCCTGGGCTAAAACTTAGTTACAAATTTAAAAAACCCACAATTAACAGCTCAGACATTATTTCCAAATCCCCAAACAAGGAAAACAACAAATCCTGATGGACTAGCTAAACTTTTCCCTACTTACACATTTTAAGAAGTCCATTCTTGCAGAGAGAAGTGTCTCCCATCTCCCTCCATCTTGGAAGAAACTGCTCTGCCTCTCAAAGAAGGGAGAGATAAACCCCTTTCTTCCAGTTTGAAACTCCTACCTGCTTTGTTATTGTCTGACCACCTGATACTTGGCTAGATACAGGAGACATTAGTTAACCCTTTAGTCACCGGGTGCTGGTCAGCACTCTTGATTATGACAAATGCAATAAATGCTTTTTTATTATTATTATTTCAGTTCTCCTCCACTTACAGAAAAAGAAGTTGAGGTAAGTGTTTTAGTAAACTCAAGATTAATAGATTTGTCAAGGCCAGAAGCAACCACCTTGATTCTCTAGTCCGGGGTGGGGATGCGGCCCCTGGCATGCCTGGATCTAGGCCTCAAGGCTCTCCCTCCAGCATTAGGGAGCCCTTGCTGGCTCTCTAGCCCCTCCACTGGCCCCCCACCCAATGCCGTGGGGCTGCAGCACACAAAATTTTCTAGCCTGGGCCCCCCTATGCTCTGGTGTGCAAAAGGAATGTGAGGAGTGCCTTTCTCCTCAGTTGGGGGCCATGTCAGTGAGGGTTTGGGGGGGTTGGGTTTGAGGTTTTTTTCTGCTTCTCACTTTTATGTGGCCCCCGCCAGATTTTTCTCTGGGTCAGCAGCCCCCAACCAAAAAAGAGTTCCCCACCCCTGCTCTCATCTTACCTCTGCATAACACAGACCATAATTTCTAGCTGTACAAGAACATTCATTATAGAAAGCTATTCAATCTCAATTTAAAACATTTCTGGTGATGGAGAATTCATCACATCATTTAATACATTGCTCCAGTGTTTAATCAATCTTGCTGGGGGGGGGAGGAAGAGAGGATGCTTTAAGTACCTTATAATTCAGATTATGCCCTTAATTCTGTTTTTTATATATTTAAAATTCAGTTATCATGGAACTACTGTGCTTTCTATTCTGCTTTGGTTTGCATCTTTTGTAATATGCTGTCAGTTTTGCGCAGTAAAAGGGTAGCTGGACTGTTGCAGAATAATTTAGCAATTTCTGTACTCAGTTTAATGGGCATGAGTTTGAATGGTCACGAACATGAATACCCACCATTGTAACAGCTTCTTATCACATCTAAATGAAATATAAAGGTCCAAATCAAGTGAGGCCACTGATTTTATAATGCATCAATTTTACAGTATCTAACTTTGAATGTTGTAACTTAGAGAGGGTGCAGATCCCTTACAACTCTGATCAGATGCTGTCTTGCTATGCAGAAAGGACAGGAGACTCTGTATATAGTTTTGTTAGACCTCAACTTTCATTATTAACAGTCTGGGAGTACCTGGCAAATAAGAGTACAGTGCAGGGAATTCCATTATCATTTCAACATACGCCTAGTAAGAGAGAGCTTCCATGAGCCCTCCCCCTTTCCCATTTTGTTCCCCGGTGTAGCCACTGCTGGGACCTTATTATTCCACCTTATTTACATATCTCCTAGCCTTGTCAACCTAAGGGGGCTTTACAGCTCTTTGCTGCACCCTCCGCTGCAGGATGGCTAACCACACAATTTTTATCCCAGAGAAAAGTTCCAACATCTGCTCCGAGTTCCTCTTAGCCTGCCTTAGAGATCACTTGCAACTCCAATCAGCTGGAAGCGAGAATTCTCAGCACTTCACAAAATCAGTTGTAACAGGTCTAAAATTTAAACATCCAAAAATTTGAGGCTTCTTTTAAAAATATTTCATAAAAGCTTTACATTTGTGGTAAGCAATGATGTATTTGTAATGAAGGAAATGCTTTCAAAAGCATGTTCAAGAAAATATCAGCTGATAATTTTTGCTGCCCTCTATAGTAGGTGTATATCTCCTAGATGAAACTTTTCTAGTAAATTATGAGTTCATCCCTGGTTTTCCTTTTCACTGACTGCTTGTTTAAAAAAACTTGGGGAAAGTCCAAATAAATAACAGGCACTTGTGATTCTGATAACATAACACTGTTAGGTGGGTCCTTCCTTCATTATGTATGTCACACTATGCTTGTATTTCAGAACACACTGAGGAAAAGAGACTTTGCAGCACATTTACATATAATAACTGGTACGTCTACACTGCAGAGGGTTTCAGGGATACCAGGGAATGCGTTTGCTTTTCTGTTTTTTTTTTGTGAAAGTGCAAACACGCTCTTTCAGAAGGCTTGTCTTCCTCATTCCGTGAGGAAGAAGGGATCTTCTGAAAGAGGGTGATTTTCTGAAATTTGGCCCAGTGTAGATGGGCCAAATTTCAGAAAAGCCTCTTCCAAAAAAAAAAAAAGGGAAAAAGCTACACAAAATGAGGAGCACATTTTGCGTAGCTTTTTCTGAAAAAAAGCTGCAGTGTATACCTAGCCTCAAAGAGGAAATTCAAATATAATAATATAATTTCCAAAAGACAATGTAATATCTAATTTTATTGTATGCATAGAGCCTAGTCCTGTGGTCCTTACTTCGGCAAAACTGCCAGTGAAGTTATGCAAACCTATCTTACTGGTGATTTCTTTACCAGAATAGCAAGTTCTAGTATACAACCACTATTATTATAAACGCCCTTCGTTTCCTCCACTTCGTCCCCCACAGAATGTGTTTGTGCAACTTTCCTTGGCCTTCAGAAATGATAGTTACACCCTGGAATCTAGAATTAACCAGGCTGAGAGGGATAGAAATCTCACTGAGGAGAACACTGAGAAGGAACTGGACAACTTTAAAACAGCCATTATGGTAAGAAAACGGGGATAATTCTCTTTCATTTAAACCTGTAAGACTCCACTAAAATCCATACACATACACGTGCTAATGCTAGCTATGAATTTGATTCACAAACTTCATTTTCTGCTACTTTTATTTCCTTACTTTCATCACTACAAGGCAAGTAGTCAAAGTTTTTTAAGCAGGTAGCGGAGAAAGATCCCTAGGCTTGATTATTACCAGATTTGGGGCAAGTCTGTGGCTTTTATCAATGTAATGCCTCCTGGATCTCCCCAGTGTGCAGAGGAAGTGCAGCTTTTTTTTGTGCCACCCTTTAAGAGGGTGTAGCATAATGAGCCAGCAGAGTGGAGAACATTACACTGTCTCGTCTCTTCCTCTCCACCCACCCACCCACTCTCTCTCTCTCTCTCTCTCTCTCTCTCTCTCTCTCTCTCTCTCTCTCTCTTTGGGGAGTAAAAGACCTGTAATTTTGCTCAACCCTGTTGTGAGAGAAGGGGGCAGAGCACAATATAAATCCTGACGTGGATGGGGTCACTGTAGGAATGAAGCATTTCTGGGACTTTTCTCTGGAGAGCACTTATCCCTGGAGAGCAGGCAGGGAATCTTGTCATTTGGTAACAAACGTTAATGGACAGTTTAAGTGTTATATTAATAGATGTTGAAGGTTGAAGTTCACAAGCCTTGAAGCACTTGACATAAAGCCTTACTGGATGTATTAAAAAGAGGTATGGGAAAGGGAATTGTGAGCTTCCACAGAACCCCTTCAGGGATCCATGAAGCCCCCTTGATAAAAAATATATCTAGTTCCTGGATTCTTTCCCATGTGTTATTCCCATGTCTTGCATGCTGGCTACTTTCTGCTTCTAATAAAAAATGTCAGCTATCAATAGTTACCTTTCTTGTGTCCAAATTTCCAGCTCTCTGTGGATTTTGTAATTGAAATGCCAAATACATTTGAAACATACCTAGTTACAATACACTGCAAATTTCCTTGTGCAGCTAAAGTGGCAGAGATCCAGTTACCATGGTGTTGGTACAGCATTAGGTAGACTGAATTAATGTACTGTTCTGGAGTTAATAAATAATCAAAAGAGCATAAGTCAAGGTTCACCCGTTATATTTGACAAGTATGGCACAAAAGGTTATGAAACTGAAGGAAGATACAATTAAATAAGGATTGTGATGTTTACATTTTTTCATTGGGAATTTGAAAGCTGCATTTTAGGATTATCTGTACCTAAAAATGTGGGGGGCTGTATTGCTGCTATTCCCCTATTCTTGGCTGTTTAGAGAACTTGAAGTAAGCAGAGAGGATCGATTAAGTTTCATGTCTTTATTGATAATAATCCTTTATGTATATACATATTTTATAGCTAGTACACAATGGCTCTTTGAAATGCAGCCTATTAGTCATTTGTAGTAATACAAATATTTCAGTTGAGAATAATTTACTAGAGAGATACAGTAAGAATAATGTTAACAACACAGGAGCAAAGCAGCTAACTTCCCTATCCTCATTGTAGTTCACATGGCATTTTGGAGCTAACTGGCTACTTTATATAATCTATGATGATGTGTTGTATTTTTACTAAGCAGTGGCTATTTGATGTTTTACTTAAAGCCCCCCAACTCTCAAAGACAATTGATAACAGAATCTCAACTTTCATTTTAAAATTAGGTTTTAGTCCACGTGGTTGCAGGAAAGAGCTTGAAAATGTAACCTGAATGTACCCTAAAATTTCAAAGACCATAAAAACTCCCTCACACTTGGGTTTAAAAGCATGAAACTTAAAAAATAGATGTAATGTTTTTTGGAGCTGTCTTCCTGATATTTTTAGGTTCTCAGTGGGGTAGCTAAAAATACTTAAAAACCAACAATGGTCCTGTAGCACCTTAGGGTACGTCTACACTACAACGTTAATTCGAACTAACTTAGTTCGAATTAGTTAATTCGAACTAAGCTAATTCGAACTAACACGTCTAGAACTAAAAACTAGTTCGAATTAGCGTTTTGTAAGCTCAGGGCTCAGGGTCGGGGGTCTCAGTGGACCCCCCTTGATTTTCATGCACACCTGCTCCTGGGTGGCCAGGCTGGCAGCTCTCCTGCCCTAGACGGCCACTTTCCTGTGCCTAGTGCGGAGATCGTGGACGAGGTCCACGATGTCCGCACTAGCCCAGGAAGGTGCCCGCCTCTTGCGGTCCAGGGCAAGCTCCTGGGAGCCCCCAGCCTGGTCCCGGGAAGAGGGGGTGGGCTGGGGGACATCGGGTGGGTGGCTCTATGCCGTGCCAGGTGCAGGGTCTGCTGGCTGGGTGCTGGCAGGCTTGCACCTGGCACGGGCACCGTAGCCAGCCCCTGCCCCTTTAAGGGGTCCGGGGCCGGGAAGGGGGCATAGAGTTTCCCTGGTGTTGGCCAGAGTGGCCACCAGGGAAACCTGGGGAAGGCTAGCCCCCCA